AAAAAAAAAAAAAGCCAGAGAAAACAATTTAATCCAATTTCTTGTTTAATAATTCCATAGAAGGAAAAAATGGAAACAAAGCTTCTGTTCCTGGAGAGGGGAAAGGGCTTGGAGGGGTGTAGGGGATAGAATAAGATAAAATTTATTTTTTTTTAGGCCTGCTTAACACCATTTCTAGTTATTTCTGCCTTCATATGTATTAATTGAATTATTGGGGTTTGAGGCAGTAAGAGCTATTTGACCATTCCAGATATGGAATTTACACAGTAGGTTTTTACTTTTTGTTTTTTTTTTTTTTTTTTTTTTTTGGTTTGTTTTTGGTACCGGGGATCGAACTCAGGTCCTTGCGCTTTCGAGCCTGGTGGCGGAATCACTGAGCTAAATCCCTTGCCCTTACTTTTTGTTGTTTTGATGTCGGGATCCAACTCATGTCCTTGCAACTTGCAAGGCAGGCGACAGAACCACTGAGATATATCCCCAGCCCTACACAGTAGGTTTTTAATCGACTGCCTGTGTTTCTCTCTGTATTGTGGATGTCCGGGTGCAGCAACATAGCCTGACAGTTTTTGTGGCCCTGGAGTGTGGGTTTGCATCCAGTCTGACCGCTTTCTAGCCCCGAGACCTGAGCAACTTACTGAATCTTCTGTGCCTCTGCCTTAGTGTCTGTAAAGTGGGGATCTACAGTAGCATTTATTTCATAGGGTCATGAGAAAACTATGGTAGTATTTATAAAGTGTTGAGAAAAATGAGGGGCAGAGTAAACCCGCAAAAGTGTGTGATTAAGCAAATAGGCCATGGGGGAGATCTGAGGATTGTTGGTACTTTTAAACAGCAGATTTTCTGAGCTTTTATTCTAGTATGTATTTCAAAGACCTCAGAAGGGGTATTAGACCATGTAACTTTTACCTTTCCTCATATGTACCCCAGACTCATGTCTGTCTGACCATACTTTGTGGTAAGTTGGGAGGTCTAACAGACGACCGGACACCTCACCAGCTTCGCATCCTGAAGGGCAGAGAGCGTTATTATTGCTAGGACTTGTTCTTTGTTTTGTTTTTTGTTTTTGGTACCGGATATCGAACTCGGGTCCTTGTGCTTGGGAGGCAGCAGCAGAACCACTGAGCTAAATCCCTGGCCCGCTAGGGCTTGTTCTTGTACCAGTTACACTTGATGTAAAGTAGGGCCCCGGCTTGTTTATTTTAAACAATTTATTATTTTTAAAGGCAAAAGTGAATATGTTTTTCTTTATCTAGAGAAAGATCCAATATACATGTTATATCTGTTGGTCCTGCAGCTCACTGACCACAAAACTTCAGTGTATATCTTCTTAAGCTACTTATTTTTTTCTTCTTGTAAAGAATACATATTTATTGAAGTACACTTGGGAACCATAAGGGAACTCTAACAAAATGGAAGTACTTTCACAACAAAAATAGCCAATATTATATTTTGGAGTCTTCTTTTCTTTCTAGAGTTTGGGGCATAATATACCGTGGTTTTGTGTCCTTCTCTTCTTTGTCGCTTGACTTTATATAATATTCTCAATCCCAGCCATGCAGTGATTTCTGGCATTCGTGTGATTAGCAATCTGCATTTCAAAAGAGCTTCCTTCCTCACCAAACTCCGAAGCCAGAGACACTATGAAAATAAAAGGGTGTACCTAGAATGAGTTTCTCCCTCCTTTTAGCGTCCTTGGAAATTGGAACCACCTGGTAGGCGGCCGGCAGCTCTGTTTAGAAGACCCGGACGGGAGTAGGTGACCTCAGGTTGCTTCATGTTTATGAGTCACTCCAGTGTGCAAGCCAGCAGCCAGATGGACTGGGAAGGCTCCAGAGCAGGCTGTGTGCAGGCATTACCTAACTGGGGTGGCTGTGCGTGAACTTATCCAGTGTTGAGATAACTAGGAGAATTATTCGGGGAAGCCTGAATTCTTCCAAAATAAATTTAATTGCTCTTTATCTTTTAAATGTAAACCATGTGCCCTCCATTGCGTGTTGGAGGCAGGATTCTAGAAGTAGTCTAATGGGAGGAATAAACATGGTTTCTGTTTTATCCTGTAATTTATCTATAGGAGATTATATTGAACTTACCTGACAGTGCATAATATAAAGACTTTAAACATTCTAATTGTTCTGGATTTTCGCTTTGTGCTTTTCATAAATGACGGGTGCTGTAGTAGTTAAATGTACCTGCTCAGTATTCAGAAGTCATTATTCAACAACTTTGCATCTCCATTGCACTTAAGATTAAATCAACCACTTCTTTAAATGGCTTATTATCTTTAACATCTGTAGCAGATGAACATATTTTAACCCTCTCTGAAGAGGAAAACCATACTACATTGTTTAATAGAATTAAATGAGCCTTGCAGGGAAATTCACCTAGGAGCTGTTTCTGGAATCAATTTGGAAAATGATCTTTGTATTCTGTTGCATTTAAGTTTGATTATGTTTTTCTTAGTAATTCTCGATGGACCTGGTTTACTCCTTGATTCAGTCATCAAACCCTTGGGAGTTTTGTAGGCAAATTGGGCACTTCCTATCCATGATTATGCATACCTATAGAAATGGATGCTTCCTCGCATACATGTGATGAGAAATTCTTAGTGCTGTTACACAGGAAAATAATTTGAATTTTAACATTGGCCTATCCTGAGGCCTATGTTAAAGCCGAGATAAATACCTATATATAAATTCTTGTACAAAATGTTTCATAGGTATAACTTCTGGCATGTTCACTAATGAAAGTGAGTGCTGTTTGTACAAGTGGTGGAAAATGAACTTCTCTGAGACACTGGCTTGACACGGTCTGTACTTGAGGCTCAGGAGGCTTTGGGGGTACCGTGCTCTCCTTAGTTGCAATCTCTTGTTTCAGGAAGCCACGAAGAAATGGAAAATGGCTTGAAAAAACTCGTGTTTCAAGTTTTTTTAGCTGTAAAATTTATCCTTTCTGATCCGCTGTGTTCTTGGTATATGGACTGGGAATTAACTTGCTAAGTAATTTGGATTCAGCAGAGATAGAGCTAACCATCTCCTTTTTAATAATTCTTTGCCGTATGTGCCCCCTTCTGAGTTTCAGAGCACTAGCACAGAGAATGCTCATTTGCATTCTCTTTCTTGTGTGTCCGCCTCCCACATTCCCCTTCACTTTCCCTTTTTCATTTTCTTTGTCTCTCTCAATTTTGCATTGGACTTGAAAACGTCGTTTTCTGTCAGTGCCCTTTCTGAGTGAGAGAGAATTAAAACGGTGATTTCTGTCCTGAAAACCCAGAATATTCCTTTACTAACCTTGCCACCTTCTGACTGAGTGAAGTTTGGAGTCATGTAGTTTGGAATGTTGCTTTGTCATTTTATAGACATAATCGTCAAATATTTTAATGTTATAAATGAATAACAGCAACATGCACTTCAGTTTTACTATGAAACCACTTACTTTATTGTGTAATTTCACTAAAAATGTTTTTGTGCAATGTCCACGTTTTAAATATTTAAAGCAATACA